ATCTATCTATCTATCTATCTATCTATCTATCTATCTATCTATCTATCTATCTATCGATCTATCTATCTACATGCTTATAATATGTCTACCTGTCTGTCAAACTATGTATATATCCACTTTTACAAATTTTACGTTAATTGTTTTGGACAGCTGTGTTAATTTACTGTTATGATATTACGTCGAACAGTTATTTATTATCTCACATTGTGTTGTCTGTGGGGACCAATGTATTGCTTGTTTTGTAAACACCCAGCTAGAGAGAGAGCATAATAGGCTCTATTTTAGCTGTAACCTTTTTTGGTTTGATAGAAAGATCGGTAGATAGATAGATAGATAGATAGATAGTTAGATATATAGATAGAGGGAAAGAGAGAGAAATAGAGATAGACAGATAGAGAGAGAGAAAGAAAGAGAGAGAGAGAGAGAGAGAGAGAGAGAGAAAGAGAGAGAGAGAGGGAGAGAGTTTACATGTTTATATACTTTTCTGAGAATGTCTTGACTATTATTTGCCAAGTATCCGTTTTAGAATTGGTCTACATCTCGACTAGTCACAAACAAGTCATTCCTGGGGCTGTTACGCAGAGAATTAGGTCTACCTGCTGGCATTTAAGGAATGCTGCGTTTCTTTCATCTCACCATTCTTTTAACTTTTTAAAAATAATGAGGCACACATTATGTACCTAGCGATAAAGTAAAGAGACTTTGCGAGGTTTTTAAACAGTGCTCTGTAAGCGCAGGTGTAAAGACAGAACGCGATTTATGTCGGGCAGAATTATCCAAATTGCCACACCCAATTAAAAAAAACGGATCAAATTAAGGAAGAATTATTACCAATAAATTATAATTATCACATGCTCCAAATCAGCAACGTCTTCAAAAAGTCTGATCTAAGAACGTTCTCTCGATAAAAATGAAGAAATTCTCCAATTCCTCGAGGCACCAAAAATAACTACCCTGCCGCTCTCGTTAAAAAAAGGTAATTTCTTTTTAACAAATCAGCAAAAAATTTATGGGCGAATAAGGAAAAATTAGAATGCGCGCACACAGAAGAAAACAAAAAGTGGCCAGGAAAATGTGAGACAATTTGACGGAAGAGCGGAGGGGGATGACAAACCGATCCATTAATCCGGACCCCGCAATATTGGGCTCCCCTACTCGGCCTGCGTTCAGAGGAAGATGAATGGTGGCCTCTAACCCTCGCCTGGTGGCGACGGACGTTCTTGCGCGATAGAGAAGTCACCGTAGCCCTCACCCTTATTGATCACAACATTCATCTTTTAAAGGATGGGTGCTCAGATAGGTTTTAATATTCCATTTTTTTCCAAACTATTTATAATAATAACGTTCACACTTTAGGGGGTATTTTTTTCGTCAAAGTCGTAACAATTCGATCTTCTAGTTCTGAAATCAGTTTCAGAGAAGAGAATCAGATGGTTATAGTGGCATATTGTTCGTTATTTTGTGGGTCCTGGTGCGGGAGATGTATGGAAGTGAAGGATAGCCTTGAAAGCTGGGATTAAGTTAGATGGTGACGTAGATGAAAATTAGATTTCAGGAGGCTAGCTCAAAGGGGGCAGCAGACACCGGGAATAGAAAGTCGGGGCCGATTTAAGAACGAAAGGGAATAAAAAGGTGAGAGAAAAAAGAAATGTACATAAAACGAGCAGGAACCAGAAACTGAGAGAGAGAGAGAGAGAGAGAGAGAGAGAGAGAGAGAGAGAGAGAGAGAG